TAATGGTGTTTGTTTTTAGTATTTGTTCCACGTATGTTAATTTCGCGCTTTTGGGGCACACGTACTTATGTTTGTTTATTTTATTATTCTTGTTTTTATTAGTACATATATTATTCTCTTTTTGCCAATTCATATGTACATATTATCTTAATTGATGTGATGTGCACATGTAAAAATCTGATAATATAAATAGATTTAGCGATGCAAGACTCAGAATAGTCAAGAGGAACAAGGGGCCCATCTACTTCGTCCGAGCATATGGAAAATGTATGATAGTCTATTTACTTTAGTTCATGTTTACATTAATTAGGACATTATTATATTGTTGATAAGAATTATTATTTCTTATTGAACTTCATTTTAGAAGAAATAAAATTTTTGTATTAATGAATCAACTAAGACCGTAGGAAAATGGGAGCTAGATCCACGACATGTAGCTTTGGTTGAAAAGACCAAATTGATCTCCTTGATAGACATTGGGGTCTCCCATATGGATTGCAGTCTATTGATGGTCTTTATAACGAAAGAGTGCAAGGTGACAAATACTGCACATTTAACTGTTGATGAGATGACTCCAACCCTATACGATATGTACTATACATTAAGGATACCTGTGACAGGTGAGTTTGTAACATGCATTAGACCTAAAGACCACATCACTTGCATCATGGAGTATTTGGGAGATTAACCTAAAGGTGATAGGTTGAACCGTTTTAAATATACTTGGTTGAGGATGAAATCTTGGCAACTACCAAAAAAGCCTACCAAATTAAAATTGTTTCAACATACTCAAACTTATCTCCTTTATTTAGTCAGCACAACTATATTTGCCGACGCATCTCAAGGATTGACGCTTACAAGTTATCTACAACTGTTTCGAGATCTTGATGAGACATGGAAGTATACATGGGGTGCAAAAGCGCTTGCCTTCTTGCATCGTTCATTATCTAAGGTCATGGACAGGGATACACATTTTAATGGATCAGCAACACTACTACAAGTAATTTTCACTATTTTTGTAGTCAATATTTAGATATTTATAATTTCTTTGGCTTCAAACTAATTGCTTCTAGCTTTTTTTTTTCACATTCTAACTATTTTTTTTGTAGTGTCGGATCTATGAGCATTTTCCAGCTCTAGGAACCAAGCCTATAATTATCACCATAGAAATGCATAGAGCTTGCAAGCGGAAGATACAATCACATAGCAAAGACCCATTAACAACATTTGATGACATCTCCATTGACATGATTAGTGATTTACTTGTGTGATTATGTAATTGAAAGGTAATTTATCAAATGCAAATACAAGCATGGTTGGTGGTTTGCTTGGGTGCTTATATAATTGTAGGTAATATATTTAAGGCAAATACAAATAATTGTGATTATTGTGCTATGTTTTTGTTGTAGGTGACTTAACAACCATATGAGGAATACAACCCATTAGATACACTCAATAAAGAAAATGCGTTGTGCCAATCATGTCCGATAAGTTTCCACATTGCAGAGTACTATATGTCTAATCGTGTACTACTGCAATATGGGAAGATACAAGTGTTTCCTATTGGGCCACCTAAGTGGGATAGGAGGGAAAATGTCGATTTACACCCCACAAGTTGGATTGACGAGTTGAGTAGTGAGATAAGCAACTGGTGGCAACGAGAACGTAATGTTGTCAAGGTAGACGTAGATAAATATGGTGGAATGCCTACAAATGAATATATGACCTAGTACAGCATATTCACCCATAGATATAGAAATACGCCTATGTGCCCCCCTCACAGTCGCAATCAAATGTGCGCCCCCGTCGCAGGCCATGATGATAGAAATACTCCCATGTCCCCCCCCCCCCTCGCAGGCCATGATGACTAGAGGAGATTGATATATTATCTAATTTATGTATTTTATTGTTTATTGAATTAATATGTATTCAAAATAATTATCTATTTTGTTTTTTATTATCTATTTGCAGTGATTAATCTGTATAAGGATGTTACAAGCAGCACTTAGTGGTGAAGTATGAGCAGGGGAATCCAGACGTTATGTACAGGCGACCCATGATTTGCTATTGCATAACACTCCTATGGAGACAGATGTCGAGGAGATGGTGGAGGGAGATGGTAGAAGCGAGAGCGAAGAGAAAAATGGTGGAGATGCTGAAAGCGAAAGCGAGGAGGGAGATAGCGGAAATGAGGAAATCGAGACAAAGGAGGGAGATGGTGGATTTGAGGAAATCGAGACTGAGGAGGTAGATGGTGGAGATGAGAAAAGAGAGAGCGATACCGATGAAAAAAATGAGATGAGAACAAAGAGCAAAAATGACAAGAGAAAAAACCATCAGATTAAAGTTGTGCTGACCTTGCATGAGGAATCAAGGAGGAGGGAGATGTCCAGGAGGAAAGGACTAGGGAGGAACCAGTTGTAAAGGGAAAGAGTATTACAAGCTGGCCAAAAAAATAGTTGAGGCGAAGAAAATTATTGCCATGCGTTTTTTAGATAATACCCAAATATGTAATTTGAAAAGTGACTAATGCAAGTTGCAAAAGCTATGAACCTTTTTTTGAAATGTATTTTTCAATTGATATGTATTTTTGAGTTTGATATATATGTTTGAAACATATGTTAAGTAGTGAGATTCAAAGACTGAAATGTCCATTCTTTTTGTACAATTGAAGAAACTCTATCATAGGAGCCAGCTAATGAAATGTCCATTCTTTTTGTTAGCATGTAAATGCTACGAACTTTTTTTAAGAGATATTTTTAAATTGATATATATTTTTTAGTTTGATATGTATGTTTGAAACATATGTTAAGTAGTGAGATTCAAAGAGTGAAATATCCATTCGTTTTGTACAATTGAATCTACTCTATCATAGCATCCAGCTAATGAAATGTCCATTCTTTTTGTTATGAATGCAATTGCTTCATATCTTCTCATGGCAATATGAAGGGCCAATTCGACACTTCAAGCAGCCAGTTCGACAGTTCCAAGAGGCAGTCCGGAACTGAACACCGGTCTAGCATTTGAAAGGGGCAGTCCGACACTAAATTTTGGTACGATCCTGCGTTTGGAAGGGGCAGTCAGGCATTGAAGTCACTGGAATTGGCCTAGTTCGGGGTTTCGAATGGGCAATCTGGCACTTTAAGCGGCTAGTCTGGCAGTTCCAGGAGGCAGTCCGGCACTGAGGTCACTGCAATTCATCAGTCTGACATTTGGAAGGCGCAGTCTGGCACTGAAGTCACTGTAAATGGTACGGTCAGGCATTTGGAAGGGGCAGACCGACACTGAAGTCATTGGAATTGGCCCGGTCAAGCGTTTCAATGGGGCAGTTCGACACTTCAAGCGGCTAGTCCAGCAGTTCTAGTAGGCAGTCTGGCACTGAGGTCCCTGCAATTCGTTGGTCCGGAGTTTGGAAGGTGCAGTCCGGCACTGAAGTCACTGTAAATGGTACAGTCCGGTGTTTGGAAGGGGCAGTCTGACATTGAAGTCACTAGAATTGGCTCGGTCAGACGTTTTGAAGGGGACGTCTGGAACTTCAAGCAACTAGTCTGACAGTTCCAAGAGACAGTCCGACATTGAGGTCACTGCAATTCGCCAGTCCGGCATTTGGAAGGGGCAGTCCGGCACTGAAGTCACTATAAATGGTACCATCCGGTGTTTTGAAGGGGTAGTCCCGGCACTGAAGGCACTAGAATTGGCTCGGTCTGACATTTCGAAGGGACAGTCCGGCGAATATGTCAATGGAGGGTGCGGTCCAGCGTTTGTAAGAGGCGGTCCGGCGATTATCTGTACGGTGTGGCATTTGGATGTGGCGGTCCGAGATTTATTTTACTGGAGGTGCAATTCGGTGTTTTACAAGTGCGGTGTGGCAATTGATCTTGGGTTATTGAGCGATCCGGCATTTGTGAGCTACCGTTCGACATTTATGTCACTGGAGACGCGGTTCGACTTTTCGCAACCGCGATCCGGCGTTTCCTTTTATTTGGATCCAAAAATGATTTATGTACGGGAAGGGTATTTTCATAAAAATAAATAAACTTTTTGTATTGGGGATATTTGCTAAAAAAAGTTGGTTTTGGGGAAAAATATGCTAGAAAAAATTAGACTAGGTAAAGTGCCTAGAAAGTCTATATTTGAGAGTTTTAAGTAATTTTCCCTAATATATTTATATTCATACAATTTTTTAGTATTGTCGATCAAAAGGTAATATTTTGAGCATTTTAAAAGATTTTATGCATGCAGAGCCAAAAGATATTTTATTCCTGCAAGTGTATACTATTCATTTATTCCGTTGTGTAAAAGTCTAAGATTTGTCTTAAGACCCCAAAATTTGAAAACTAATCTTTCAATCCATATACTAACCTTAATTAATTAATTTTTAATTATACTCTCTATACTCTCTCTATACACTTAAAAAACTAATATCTTGTGATTGAATAGAGACTCTTATTTTTAGAGTGTAAAATATAAATATTTTAAAACCCAAATTTTAATTTTTTTGAATTAGTGGTTCCCAAAATTTCATATTTAAAAAAGATGAAGTTCATATAGGACCTAGGTTTTATGAAAACAAAATAATGCCTCACCTCAAATCCTCATCCAGAAAGTATATTCGGCAATAGAAATCTCCATGATGGATCTAAAATCAAATTTTAACACCGACAATAGGACTTGAAACTCAAAAGACGGTACATATCTTATGGATCGATGAATACTTATTTTTAGGTTGAAATGAACCGTCTAGATAATTTGTTACAATATACACCATTTTTAGAGCATAAAATCTTGATTTTTTCATATCCACAATGTTCATGTAGATCGATGTAAAGGTCTTTCAATGCTTGAATTGTAATTTTCGTGAGGCTTTACTTATTTTAATAGGGCCGGAGCCCCACCAAACCATATTCCTTAAAAAAATAGTAATTCTTGTCACACATGTAAACTATGCTCCCTCGGGAGCATAGTATACGTGCTTTTATGTGGATAGATGATACTAAGAACCAGTGAAGAGTGGCAGCTCTTCCTCGCCGCTAAAAGCCCGGCAACCTAACCTGTCACATTTTTTTCAGCAGCAGCAGAGAGAGAGAGAGAGAGAGAGAGAGAGAGAGTGGAGGATGTCTT